TTACTGTTTCGGCGCACAAAATTAGCTAATTTCAAATCGCTGCGTTTAGATTACAGAATGTCTGCGTAATTAGTCCTGTGTCACGAAATTATCTGGCTCAATCACTCCTTCTGGCTAGAAGACCGGTGGCAAAATGGACGAGAATTGGCTTTTCGCGGTCAAAGATCGCTTTTCTTCTCCTCTTTCCGAGAAGAAATGTTATTATTGGTCGGTATGCTAATTCGGATATCGGTAGCGCCTTCCGAATATTTTATCATTGGTCCGTATGTAAATTAGAAGGATACAGCGCCCTCCCTGAATCTCCAACTTTCGTCGCTACTTACTCTCTCTCACCCCCTACTAAGTCAGATAGCATTAATTGATGGGAAAGATCTACCCCTACTCTTATCTATTTTTCTATCCGGCCGGAAATCAAATTTTATTTTAATTAGCTGATTGGTCGTGACGTCACTAGCGAATTTTGTCAGAGGTTCGAATTCTGTCGGTTAATTTAATTCTTAAACCTAACGGGGTAGTTGTCGCTCGCTATCATAATAGGGGTGTCGGTCGCATGCGAATTTTACAATTCGGTATCTATTCCATGTTCATTCTTTTTCAATTATAATTTTAATTTGTCATGAATACGTATGTAATATACGTCGTTTCATTTGTAGCGCCCTCATCCTCGCATTTGCATATTATTCTATTCATCATTTCATATCATCTGTCTCGCTCGCTCTTGTTTAGTCTATTTCGCTCGCTCTGTCTCGCTCGCTCTGTCTCAGTCTGTCTCGTTCGCTCTTGTTTAGTCTACTTCTCTCGCTCTCAGTCTGTTTCGCTCGCTCGCTCTCAGTCTGTTTCGCTCGCTCGCTCTCAGTCTGTCTCGGCGTTTCAAAATGGCCGCTCGGTCTCTCGCGCGTACGTCTCGTGTTCCTGTATCGGTTGTTGGAGCGCCTCCTGGGGCGCTCCCGTGTCGGTTAAGTGACGTGTTCCCGGATGTTTGTGTGGTCGCTGTTGTGCTTGTGTGTGGCCCTCAGGATGTCGCCGATGGTGTTCGGCAGCCCGACACAGCTGATTGCCGGCTGCCACTTCATCGCCGATTTTCTGCTCGCCCCAGGAGTGTCAGTGCTTTGTGAGTGTTGGTGTTGGTGTCTGGGAGTGTAACGGATCTGCATGTGTCATCAACATGCATTTCCGTTGCATTTCCCAGTCAAGTTTTTCCGTTTTCTTTTGCCGGTCGGCCACGTGGTCGGGACTGAGTGTGTGCGTGCGCTCTCTTATTTCGTGGTGCGCTCCTTTTTTCTTCTCTTCTCTTTTAAGTGTCCGTCGGATCACGTTTGTCAAGTTTGTTTCGCCGATATCTCCGGTGTGGTTGTTCGGGCATGAAAAAAAGTAATCGTTTTATATAGGGCGCGTTTGTTTTTATTTTATTCAACCGGTTACGGGGCGGCAAGGGACGGGAATGGCTTTTCTGAGATGTTGCAAATAATGCAGCGCTCAGGAAAGGCCTTGTAATGTACTACATTACAATACTTATAGTTATTTTGTGTTAGGGGTGGTTTACTCCCCCTTACGGTTAGTATCTATGAAAAAACCAAAAAACTTAATTTGTTTATTATAGATTTTTACAAATTTTTTTCCAATTTTTTTAGTTGTTCAAAAGATTTTTAATATATAAAATTTTTTTTTCGTTATTTCCGTCCGCCGTATTGTTCCGCAATTTCGAATTTTTAAAATCTGATAACGGATTTGTCATCAGCGACCTCGAAAATCTCTATGTACAAACTTTCTACGAAATATTATGTATTGACTTACATATTACAGTTATTTTGTGTTAGGGGTGGTTTACCCCACCTAGGGGTAATATTTATTAAAACACCGAAAGACATCAACTAAATTTTGTTATTATGGATGTTTAAACATTTTTTTCAATTTTTTTAGTCGGTTTCAACTTTTTTATTATAAAATTATGCCAAAAAATATATGTTTTCAACTCCTAAAAAATAGGAGATACTACCCTTACTCTTCAAATTACCATGAAATATTTGCTCCTTTTGTAAGTGTTACGTGACGTCTTATTATGTTACAAATATATACTATCGAATAAAACCTTGCTCTCGGGATTTCCGTTTGGACATAGCATAGCTAGCAGTATTCGTGTGCGCGACTCGGTGGGAATGAACGGTAGAGGCTGATTCACGCTGAGCCAGCATGCTGGGACTGCATGCTGCAGTCAGCGTGCTTAGCTAGGTAAGACGACCCGCTACGAGAAGCGTAAACATCCGAAGCATATACGCGAGAGAGAGACGGTATGCTAGGGACAAAGGCTACCTATATAATAAACCAGCGAAAGCAGAGCACCAAAGAATTAGTCAGTTAGAAGCGAGCGCTCAATTAAGAAGGCCGGATATTCTTTTCCTACTGAAATTAATAGAAGTTTTGAGTCTTTGATTGTTTTGAGTTATAAACAAATATTAGAAGTGTCGAGTACGATTGCTTCAATAATTTTGCGTAAACAGAAAATCACAGGAATTATCATTTTTTTTGCGTGTTACTACGTTATTGGATAGAGAAGATATTAGACAACTAAAACCATAACAACTACCATTTTCTTGCGTGTTACTACAGCATTGTAATAAAAAATATATTGGACCAGTTGAATCTGATCAGATTGAAAGGAAAGGTGATTGACTATATCACGAAGCGAATAATAATTTGGACCAAATTATATTTACTATAATAATACGAAGTGAGTAATACTATTGTATTTTTGTTCGCGGCATTCTGCGCTCCTAACGACGCGGGAGCGGACGTTCGATTCTTTTGTGAGGTTGGTATATTTCATGGTGTGATTGCGAGTGTATAAACGCAGTCTCGCTTTCTTTTGCGTCTTGACTCGTCTGGACAAGTGAAAGACCCAAATCGTCGACGGTCTGTGGCTCACGTGCTGAGCGCGGTCACACTCGGGTGTCCGATTACACGCCGGCGAACGATGGCCACACTGATGCATAGTGGAATTACCCGGTCGCTGTTCACCCCCACTCTCAAGGCCAAGATAAGGAAGGGCGTCTTGTTTCACTCTCCTTCTTGAGTATTCCTGATTGGCTGGTCCTGATGAGGCCATATCGTGCGAGTTCTTGTTCGGCTCTATGGGCTGGTGGCGGGAGATCTTCTTCTTCATTCTGCATCGAGTGCACATCGTTGCGTTGAGTTAGTTCCTATCGTTGAGTGCGTTTCATTATTCTATAGTGTTGTATACCGCGCGCCTTAGTGTATAAGTGCTATTATTGCGTTGCATTGAGCGACTGTACGCGGGTACCTGTGTGTATCTTTCTCTCCCTTCCGCCAGCGACCGCATCAAAAGGGGCTACGGCAACCATCGGCCTAGTTGAGAGTACGTGCGGTACTCTCTGAGACGTCTCCGAACTCAGGGCAGCCCGATCAGCGGCACTCGGCCCACCTCGAACACTAGGAGTCGCGTAGTGCTGGCCGTGCCCGTGACCAAGACGTTGGCACTACGCTTCTCCAGGAGACGTCTTCCTTCTTGCACGAGTCATGCATGCGGCATCGCTCGGTCAGTGTTTAATTTAGTGAATGGCCATTCATGTAAGTTTAGCGTTTAGTTGTTTAAAAGCTACGCGAGCCATATGTAATTAGCGCAATAAATAGTAGCTTCTCTTGTATGTATAGATCCATTATACGAGTGAAAGTTTTAAATGGCTTTTCCCCCACTCACGACTGGGGTTTTTTATGCCGGCTGAAGTGTCATCTCTCTGTATCTTTCTTTTATTAAAATAATCATTATTTACAACTTCACACATCCACCTTCTTCAATTAACTTACCCTTGCCTCTCTCCTTTATTGCAATTAATTAATCGTACAGATTAAACAATTTTTATGTAACCAAAAAATACTAGATATCGCAACGCGAAAATTACGCGTCTGAGAATATATATATCTCTATTCTGCTTAATTTATTTATGTTATAAAAGAGACTGGAATAAATATTATAATTGTAAACATCCATAAGTGTATCCATATGCTTCCCCACTACATTAAAGAGAATCGCTATTACAGTTTTGCTTTTAATAAATAACCGAAGAACGTTATAAACGTTCAATTATTTATTTTACAAAAACGATATCGAGTGTCAAATTACAATTAACACGGATTTCATTATCGACGCGGGAACGGGCCGGGGTGCCCGAAAGCCTGACTACCGCCCGAGTCTAAGGCCGCTCGGCTGTTAAAAGAGCCTTCGTACGGGACAAACTCGACTCGCGCGAGTTGTCACCTATCAGTAAGAAATAACCTCCAATTTGTTTCACTGAAAAATATTAATTTTAAGCCGAGATATTAAAAAAACGCTTTTTGGGGGTTAACTTTCGGGGAGGTTTTTACCCCTTAAAAATGAAAATTAGCCGATAAAAAAAATACGTGTCTCTTATTTTTTATGTTCTACAATACGTATCAAAATCATCAAAATCGGTGAGTTCGGGTTGGGTACCTTTCCTTGTAAGTAAAATGAATCCTTGAAACAAGTTGCTGTAGATGTACGTCTAGATTTTGAAACCAAAAATAATATACCAGCGGAAAAAGCTGTATATTGTTTAATTTTATACGATCGTATAGTGTAGTATAATCAAATAAGTGGTTACGTTAGAAAACTAGTATAAGTATTGTAATGTAATGGTCATGTGTATTTTTATCAAATATTTTAAAAATTTTAAAAGCATTTAAATTTGTTGATTTTGTTGATTTTTCAAGAAATCTTATTCCATGGGGCATACACATACACATAACTGGGGACAACAATGGGCACGCGACAGAGCGGACTGTCGATAAAATGCGTCGATAACTCGACAATCTATCAATTACCTACTGCCGTCGTAGTAGGAATCAAAACTCGTTTTTAAGTGGCTCAGAATTTCCATAGTCCCTACTACTCAATTTTCGTAGTTTTCAGAATATGTAAATCGATAAAATGTTAAAAGTTTATTTACAATATAGAATTAACATACTTTCGAAATTTTTCCAGCTGTTCTGCTCCAGAAATTTCAGTAATAGTAACTTTGCTACATTTGTTATGTTCAGTAACATTTGCTTCTAACCATGAAAAATATTTTACTAGAGCAATGGCATCCCAGACATGTGCAAGTTTCATACCTTCAATTTCGATTCTGTTTTTGACAACTTTCATTAAGCTGATCGGTGTAATAGACACATATTTTGTGGCTCTACTACATAAAATGTGTAAAGCATGATTAGCTGTATGAGACAACCATATTTTAATTTTACAGGTATGTATTATTTCACGTAGAAATTGTTGGACAGAGTTGTAAGGATGACAAACAAAATCAACTTTTTCTTCTTTCATTTGTTTTTTAGCATTTAAGCTGAGTTTATCTTCTTCAATAAATAAGTGAACTCTATTTAAAAAAAGTATTGCATATGCTATAAAAACTGGATTATATGGAATATCTGATCCTCTTAGATTTAGTAAGTAAGCAATTTCATCTAAAGCTGTTATAACTAGAATGGATACTTTCTTTTCTTTCATCTTATCAAAACATGCATTTACTTTGTAACCAGAATTTATACCAGAATAAATGATTTCATGTGGTACTATATTATTTTTCAATGATGTTGGTCGTTCAGATCCCCATACAATATCAACTAAATTTTTTTCAACAGGAAATAGAATAAGACCGGCGTCTCTTAAACAGTTTTCTATTCGAAGCCAATTGGAATGGCTAATGAAATTTGGATCTGTTCCAATTAAAGCATTTGTAGGTATGTTGTCAATTAACCAATCTTCTATAGTAGGAGTTTCCGGAATACCTTCTTTCATTAATATCCAAGCATCTAATGGATCAAGCTCAAGTTTCGCTTGAGCAAAATATCTACCATCAGTCCACAGCAATGCATGGTTCAACGTTATAACAGCAGTACCTGCCGAGCCTTTGAAACCTGATATATATTCCCTTCTCTTATCCTGTTCTTGAATATATTCAGATTGATGAGCATCATCTCCAGTAATAATATAGGCTTGAACATTCATTTGGTCCTGGCTTGGAAGATTCTTTATCAGTTGTCTCAAAAATTTCAGTTTATCGTATCCAGTCTTTTGAACCATTGTAAACCTACAAGTTGAAAAAAATATTTTCTAATTAATGTTAAAGTACAAAGCCATTCAGATAATAGTAGATGAGCAAGGTATATTTCAGGTTAAGGTATAAGAATATAGGTATGTTTCAGGCCAGCGTAAATAAAATACATAATTTAATTTATAATTTTATATTGAATTAGAATTAAAATATTTTTTCTATGTTGTAACGGTCAGTCTGATTTCTATTTTTTTTTCGCTTTCCACTGCGCAATAGTGAACCGTCATACATCCGAAAACTCAGGAAAAGCGTTATAAAAAATACGGCGCTACCCCACATACACGCGTGAATGTATTAGAACAATTGATCAAAATCAAGACTATATAATGAGCGTGACGTCACGGCCGTAGGAAATTTATTATTTACTATGCAAAATTAATAATTACAAGCTTTTCAAACGAATAAAAGCAATTTTTCAGTCAATTTCAATGCGCTAATCTCGAATTTCAAGTTATTATGATCATTTAATATGTATTTGTTAACTTAATTTAATTTGCAAATAAATATCACAAGTAATTTTGTAATTATTAAACATGATTTGAATTTGAATATACCTATATTGCTATCTGCGATTCTAGCATCTTAAGAAAGAGAAGCCAGAATTTGACACTTTGATAACTAAATTTTAACAGACTCATCAATAAATAAAAAATTCATAATTTATTTAAACATTTAAAATTACGTTGTGAGATAGCGATTAAACTTACATATACGAGTAAAAGTATGTAAAAGTACTGAAAACGATTGTTACTCGATTGTTGATGTTATAATAGCAAAAAGAATAATTTGCGAATTCATTATTTAATTATTATTGAAAAACTGTTTGTTAAATTGGAGATTTTGATTTCAAATAATGTTCTTCGGATCACAAGTGATTTTTTGGAATAAAAAATTCCAATAATGTTATTGTAAATTTTGTTCTGTTCACTTATCTAACTTTAATCATTTATAACTTTAAGAGTCGATTTTTCCTTGAGAAACGATTTATACTAAAAAATTCGTCATATTCGACTTAATTTTTTAAATCACCATCTTTTAATTTTGCGCATGCCATTTCGCGACAAAACTTGTTTAAAATTTGTATAAATAACGAAAATAGCGTTGTAGGGGACACCAAGCGTAAAAAGGAGCCTCTCTCGCAAGTATAAATTCGCTCGTCGCTGCGGCAAAAAGTGACGTCAAATCCTACCTTGCTTAGCAGTGTGAGCAATGTTTGGAATTAAAGACTTAGCATCTATCTGAGATTTTATGAGACCTTCTGAGACCTTCTCTCTTATAAGGAAAAAGCAGCCTTAGACTATCTCTGCCCTTAATAATAGTAATTTCGCTTAGAAATTCGATCAAGTATTTGTTACGATGATGTCGGGCTTTTCTCCGATAGATGCAATAATTCTTAGCCATATTTCAAACTACCCGTCGAAGTAGCGAACTGCGGAGAGGATACTATGTTCGCTGTTCGATGATTGAGTCAATAGCGATTTTGAAATATAACAACGATTACCTTTTCGATCATATCAGGCATCTAATACTATGTGTCAACTTATTGCTTGCTCTCGGAAACGCGATTTACAAGTATATGTTAGAGTCCGAACTTTATTATAACGTAGTATAACACAATATGTTACAACGTTATATTATGATAGAGGAGAGAGAGAGAGAGAGAAAGCCTTGCATTAGAATTGTACTTGCTGCTCTATAGTCAAAACAAACGAGAGAACGATGGACTACAGCTTTAAGATGCATGTTGCCCTAAAGAGAGTATGGATGTTTCATACACTCTTTTTCTCTCTTTTGTAGAATGTAGGAAGACTTGCTTGCACTATTCGCCCTTATAGCTACTATAGCTCAAAAGAGACCGAGACACTACGAGCTCCGTCTCTAAACTACACTTATCTGGAGTAACTCAAAATTTGTAAAAATACCAAGAGATCTACCTTAGAAATAGAGTATTTCTTCAGCTCTGAATAAAGGAACTCAGAACTCTGAAAAAATTTCAGTTAATATAACCGTATAAATTAGAATTGTAAACACAAATTTTCGATACAATCTATTCTATCTATTCAGAAAGTTTTACTTGTACCTCCTACATCACCTTTAAACTACGGCAAAAAAGCTATCCTCACCAAGTCTGATTTAATATTGAAACATTCACCTACAGAACTTACATCCCATCTCATTCTTTAAAAACTCTAAACAAATTTTATAGGAATTAACCGTCTGTTTAATTTTCTAAAACTCTTAGGAAATATAGTTCTTGGTATTCTGAATAAAAATCTCCATAGATACACAAAAACAATTCACACAAAAAATAGTTTCAGAATTATCGAACCTACAAATCTCACATTGTTACTATTGACAATGAGATTTTTTCAGACCTTGAATGCTACCGTTTTAAAGCATGTTATAGAAACAGTGGAAATCCGGGAAAATCTGTAAAACTGTAGGAAACACTAAAAATCTGCGTTTTACGCTATTAATGAAAAAGTATTCTGTTTTTTATACTCTGTTACTCTCGTTTGAAATCAAAATATAAAAAAGTCAGAAAACATCTGAACAAAACCTGGAAAACTCTAAAAAGAAGTTCGAAAACTGCGTTTTAGGCATTGAGGTATAATTAGCTTGGATTTTTGAACATGAATATTTGTATTTTTAGTGTGTAATATAGAGTTTCAGATAATGGAGAACATACGATATTGTAGATAAGAACATTGGTGCAACGTTCTCGTATACCAAAGAATACTTGGACCCTGAAGTCGATTGACTTCTTTGTATGCCTGCCTACGCACAATTGCGTGTTTATATTATTCTGTTTAATTATAATCGAGAACAAAAACAATTATTGATACGTGTAGATATTATTATGCAACAATAATATAGGTGGATTACGTGCTTCTGGTGAGTGAAATGCACATCTTAAATATCAGAGAACGGACGCAGCATGCCCCAAAATCCCTAAAGCACTTTGTTAAGCTTTACAACTATAATAATAGCCTAATACAATAAGTAATAGGAGATGGGCTATGGGGATCCTGGCCCACATTTACCACCCTAGCAACTATTTTCTTTCATACCAGCAGTCGATAAAGTAATCACTCCAGTGCACCGGCATTTTTTTATCGGCTAGGGCGTACGAACGTTTTCTTTATCGATGTCTGATGGTGAGATCTCGGCTGATCGCATGCAGACATAGGCGTGTGTGTCGTGGCTCGATGAGAGTCCCTATGCTGCTTTACCGATCTTTTCCATGTACTATGCGTGCGAATGATGAATAATGAGTGGAAAGAGAAAAATACTGTCTAATAAGGATCTGCATAACTCGTTGCTATGTAGGTATGATATTTCAAGATTTTATGTTACATTCTGACTTTAACATTAATTTAATACAATACAATTGGTTTGATAAGATTTGGCGAACGTTTTATATACTTTTAAAAAATTATTTTATTAAATAGTATTCATACGAGTATTATATAACTTTTATAAAAAAATCGTACAAATTCCAAAAGATATCCATCCAAATATTTTAGTCTTTTTAATCCGAGAGCGCGATTTTTCATACTTTTCATGATTCCGAATGAGTAGGTCGATGATTGTTGTAGCAGACAACAGGATTTCAGAAGTCTGGATCATACAGAAAAAGACATATAAAATTTTTGAGATCGAAGACGTGATCTACATATCGAGTTAACCACTCGACTTTGTATTTCTCTTTAAAGTAAATTGTTGTGTTTTGCGGGTTTTGAAGTAATTGCAGACACGTTTTATTTAACAAAAGATATAGTTTAATATATCACTTTACTATACAAGGAGCTTCAGCGACTCATACTGCTCGTCCGACAGTCAAAAACAAAAGAAAGCCAAGGGGGCGCACAGCATACATCTGTTGGTTGCGCGTGTCGATCATACAAAGTATAAGGAGGGGATACATACGTATATGTGTGTGTATGTGTCGCGTGCTCGGAACGTCTTCATAGCGCACAGACTACTCGATGATCTATAATATAATATGAACAGTTTCAACATAAATCATAACAGAATCTATTCCAACTGTCAAATGAGCCAAATCTATAATTATATGTTGATAACGATCATATAGAGTTGTATCTATATTCTAGTTAATGCCATGAAAATTGGTAATCAACTGAAAGTTTTGTCTCTTAAAATGATTCGATAGTTCTTTTTATAGAAAGTGACCAGAAAAAACTCAGTGTGCTGACTCAACGTCCTCGTTTAAATTGTTTAATTACAGCTCTACACTAGCCCATACTTTATATTCTACAGATGTGAAAAAATGTCTGAATAATCATTTAGTAATCGTTTAATAGTTATTTAATAATCATCTATTATTTCATTTATAATTTTTATTAGTTATTCATTGATGCTGCGACTACGTCTCTTTTCACCGCTACAGCACTGAGTCCATATCGTATTCGCTCTCTCTCTTTCTCTCTCTCTCTCTCCCCTCTCTCTCTCTTTCGTTCATACGAATTAGACTATTGTTTATTAATTATTCGTTAATTATTTATGAATCGTTCATTAATTATTTAATCATTGTCTATTATTTATTTAATAATCTTAATTAATTATTTATAATATAGGTTATTTTTTAGCTGTTCATTACTTTTTCTTAGTATTTACGAGGTCTCTCCGGAAAGTATCGGGCCTACGTTTATATTTTCGCGCCATACTGTTCGAGTGACCTTTCCCGGACAGAAACGTCAACAGTAAAGCCTCACGAATCTATTGGTTACTTACTGACACCTGACGGACGTATAGTTCATGCGCAGCGTGTCTTTGTTTACAGTGCCTTTTTCGCGTTCGTCGGATTTTGATATTGTCAAAAATGACTGAAAAACAAGATCAACGAATTTGCATCAAATTTTGCTTTCAACTCGGAAAAACGAGTTCGGAAACTATTGTAATGATGCAAAAGGCCTTCCGAAGCGAGTGTATGAGTAAAACACAAATAAAAGAGT